TGTATATAGTGGTGCTTGTCTGAAGCTAAAATTTCTACTTCTAGGGCAACCAATAACAGACGAGGAAACGCGAGACGACGGTTCTGATTCCTCGGGAAATGACAGTGAACAAGAGATGATGATGATGAGAAGGGATAATGACCCGCGGGTAATTTTTTTAGAACAACTACATCTTCTGGAGATTCCCCGCAGCTCCTTTCTACACTATTTATATTTGCTTTCCAGGGCGAAGAATGGACAGTTTGCACTCGTTGCGAGACCTTCCGGCCTCCTCGAGCTCATCATTGTCGAATTTGCCGCAGATGTATCCGGAAAATGGACCATCATTGTAAAGAAACCTCTCAAGCTCTAAAAATTGCTTTAGGTCCCTGGGTCAACAACTGCGTCGGCGAGTACAACCAAAAATTCTTCCTGCAGTTCTTGTTCTACGCGTGGCGCTAACGAGCGGCTTTTCGTTAGGGTGAGTCCTTGCGGTATGTAATCTATTTTATGGTTTTTTAGATCTGTAATGTTGTCCTGGGCCTACCACAATGAAAACGGGAGCACCGGAGCCAAGGGACCAAACGGGCCAAATGTGCACCACGCGAAAGTGTAAGTTTTGGAGCGTATTGGCGGAAAAACAGTTTTTTAGACTTCACACCATCGTGCTTTCCATCGAGTCGCTGCTATTTGGGATGTTTGTGATAGCTGTTTCCTGCGATCAGGTAAATTTTTAAATGGAATTTTTGAATAGCTGGCTCCATCAAACCTTTATTTTTGCGTAATAATTGCGGCGTTTAGTATATCTATTAAAAATTAGAAAATACCAGGGTTGAAAAACCGCTTCGCGGCTTTACAACCCTGGCCCCGTCCAGGACCTGTGAAAGTTCTCAATTTACACGCTTCTCCCCGAATTCTAGCAAGGAAAAAGTGAAAAACAGCTCCACTGTCCCTCTATATAGGCCCTCCCTACTTCCGGCGCATGCAAATTGCCTCCTAACAAAGAGTTTTTTTGGAAATTTTTACAAAAACTTTTTTTTTAATAGCGAAAACAGCCGATTTTCCTAAATCTTATATGTGTGCAGTCATCTCGGGATCCTTACGCACCTAATGACGTATCATACGTACCTTGAAAACCTTCCCTTGAGGCTGTAGGTGCGGTACATACTTACGGAAGTTGCATGCAAATATACACACACACACACACAGACACTATTTTTTTATATATAGTAGGATAGATTTTCGCCCAAAAATCAAACTAAACCGTTTCGAAACCAGTTGTGCCATTTCAAATATAACGAATTTTGACTGATAGGATTGTTGAAAAGCTTACTATGATACTACTGTTAGGTTGCGAACCAATAAATAATTTTTTTAGCTACAAGCAATCTGGCACGACGAGACGGCTGTTGAAGCAGTTCAGCGACGAGGACTGCGCTCAACGCGAAGAAAGAAGTCGTCCTGGGCTGCGCTGACTCAAGTCTGTGGTCATGGTCAGCTTTTATTTCCTGTTCCTGACGGCCAATATTTAGGCGGACTACTTACATGGCTGCTGCCCTGCTCGAGCGGGCCGCGCATCTCCGAAGTCAGCCCCGGCGACATCCATACCCATTTTACCGTCTAACCTCGCGGCTTCACCACCTTTGCCCCAAAAAACCTCAAAAAGGCCCATCTTTACTTTGCTCTGTGATTCAAGTGATCTCCCTTACATGTTTTCCTGTAGTTATCTGTACGTATGCGCGCGCCATTTGCCACTCGGAATTCGTCAAAAATGAAAGAAGATTCCCCCAACGGGTCCCCCGATCAACAGCCAATTAGTGCTAAAATTTTGCGACAAGCCTTAGCCCCCCACGCCCACCCTGTTTCCTCGCGGGTTTTGCTTCGAGCGAGAGTGTGTTCACAGTGCCCAAAAGTTTTTCCTTTGACTAACCTAATATTGGATGTGTTCTGTTTTGCAAGAATGTGTGTCTGTTTTTTGTGATGCGGTGGTATAAATTATAACAATTTTTATAGGCGGTTAGATGAGGATACCGAGTAGAGTTGACAAAACGCCGCCAGTTTGTGGCTGGGCACCGTAGTAATTGTTTGGGTATGGTTGAGCGCCTGAAAGTAGGATTTTTAATTAGGTACTTTTGCATTATCGGGGGGAGACTACTTTTCTAATCTAAAAAAGGGAGTGTTGCTAGACCGATTTTAGATCCCACCTTGATAGCCGTTGCCCCAATACGGATAGTAAAACTTTTGCAACATCATGTTCGGGATTCGGCTCATTTCCGCGCCGAAGGGATAATTGCTGTATACCCCTAAAATTTAGTACTTTCTGTAAGGTATCTACTTTGAACTCTACCTGGATATTGCGGGGTATAACCCGGGTATCCTCGCCGAGGATAAGGGAGATTTTTAGGGTACATCACTGAAGAAGAATACTCATTCCCGCGGCCCTGGTAGTATCCAGATTTCGGGTTCGTCTCATTGGAGAAGCCGTTGATGGCCGCTTCAGCTAGGATGAATAGCGGGATGACGAGTAGTAGATGCATCACGTTTCGCGACATTTCGGGTAGGGGGTGGCCCGTGATGGATCGCGGGGTATATGACGGGTTGTCACAATACACCCCGGCTCGATATCATCCGGATTACGGACGCCGGGGCATTTTGCATACGTGTTTGGGGATACCTAGATGTTTCGAGTGGTTGTATAGGGCGAAAAGATAAAGATTAATATGGTTTGTTTAGCGATGCGTGACGGGATTCGAGAAAAATAGCGTTTGAAAGTTTGAAAAAAAACTTAAATAGGCCATGAAAACTGTATTTTCATCTAGAAAAAACCATATGTTACTAATTAAGATACTCTATGGTTAAAACTTGTTTAAAATCAGTAATTTACCAAAGAAAAAAAATTATCTAGTTTTCGGGGGTGAAACCTAGGAAAAGTGTAGTTTTATCTAGAAACAGCTAGGTTTTGATTAGTCTCTCTAGTTTTAGAAGGCTGAAACATCACAAAAAGCAGAAATCATGAAATAAGTGTTAGCGCGTAGCCTGCGCGTGCGAATTCGACCAATTCGCTCTGAAATGCAATAATATAGCGCTCTTCGATATTCTAGACTCGTCGAGCGGTTTTTTAGTAAAACTAGAGTTACCTTATGTATTTTAATCAATTTTCAAGGCATAAGCCCTTCTTCGGCTTTTTGTTTCTTTTCATCATTGCCCGAGGGGCGATCTGCCATCATTTTCCAGCCGGAACCCGCGGGGGTGTTAGTTCAAGTCAGCGCGCCATATCGTTTCGTTGCTTTTTTGGGGACCGGATCCGCCCCATATAGAGGCTCCAGAAGCAGACGCTCGTCCCTTGCAGCTGGTAGAAAGTTTTCTTGGGGGAATCCCCTTGCCATAGCATACCACAGCCCGATCGGCGCTTTCCTGTTATAGATGGGCCGCTGGGTTGAATGCTCTGATCTTTCGCAGCTTACCGATAATTTTGAAGTCCACGTTTTACTCTCTTTATTTATTTCGATATTTTAGCTATTTTCCGAATTTTTGAACGCCATTCGATGGAGCCTCAAAAAACACATTACCTTTACCGTGAGCTCAAGATGTTCTACCGGAACAATTTAGAACAACAGTAAAGAGCTAAGAGTTGAAAATAGGTTTTTGCAGGAAGCTTCTTTTCG